CAACTTATGGGATCCCATATTCAATATGATATTGCAAGGGCCGAGAAAGAGACCGGAGGGATCGCGCGAGAAGCATATTTCAAAAATAAGGAGAGTTTGGTCAGTACGATGATCCGTATTTTACGCGAAATGACATGAAATATAAAAAGTAAAAGAAGGTTAAAATATGCAAAGAATGCTTTGAGAAAGGAATAAATTATATTAATGTATTTTAAATAATGATAAATTTTAAAATATGTTAGGAAAATCTAAGCTTAAAAATTTCCGAATAATTTAAAAATAAGATAATGTAAGCTAGAAGAACTTATTACTTATTTAAATAATATATTTTATTAATTATATTATATTATTAAATTTAATATTTTTAAAGTTTTAGATTATTTTTATAAAAAGTTAAATAAGATTCTCTGAATGATTTAACAATTGATTTATGTAATTATTAAAAATTTATAAATACTATTAATTATTATTGAATATTACATCATAAAAGTGCTAAAATTTATCTCTCAATATCCCACCATGTTTATTTTATACGTTTCCCATGGAAAATACAAATCCCAGAAAATCTGTCAAATTAATCCATTTTCAAAATCACCCTCATCGTTTTTTATTATCCGAATACATATCACGTCCCCTTCTATTTTCCAGTGGACAAAGCAATTAACAATATCCCCATAACCATTTATTTAAGCGACGCAAAGGATATCTTGAAATCCAGTTTCACAAATATGATTATTATTCTTATATTCTCATTTTTATGTAAAGATCATATGATTATTATTTATAAAAATAAAATTTTTTTAATTAGAATTCCAATTTAAAAAATAATTAAAAACTGAATTAAAAAAACTAAATTATTAAATTATTACACATACATATACATAGTACATATTATATTTATACACATATAACATAATATATCAAATATTAATATTAATATTTTCTTTTTTACCTGAACCAACCATCACAAATTTCCCCTACAATTTCACAACTCACCACCACCTTTCCCCAATCACAAATCAGGCCCCCAAACAATACAATACAATACCCTAACCATCTCTCATTCCTCTTCATCCATGAAACATCTAAAACCCTCAACAAGAAGAAACCAATAGCAGAGTTTTTCCACGTTCTATCATTACCCAAAGTGTTCATTCCACAAAGACATCCACTTCCCCTTCTCAAAGACACGAGGGACTAAGGGGTATGCGGTTTACGGGGGGTCCTCTTGCGCTTATGGTCAACGCGCTTGCTATAATAAAACTATTCCTTGCTGCAACTCGCAAGGCGCAGAGGCAAGTGTGCTAGAAGGAATGGAAGCAGAGGAGGCGGATCCCACGGGATATAAATGCCGGCAGGGTGTTTCTTTGGACCGTGGCCGGCTTCGTAGATTCAATCACGACCCTTCCTATACCGACCGACCTCACACGGCTCGAATACCAAACAGACCTTTCGTCTACGGTATTAGAGCGTCCCGGCGTCTTTGATCGTGACACGAATTCTCTTCAGAATTCACCTTTCTTCGGTTCTACGCTCCCTACGTACCGGTAACACGTCTGCTTCTAACCTATATAGTCTACTGGAGAGGAGTGGGGATAGCGTTTCAAGCAAAACTTGATGAAGGACGCCATTATGGTCGACAACTAGAAGCAAGAAACGATAACGCAATAATCGTAAAGAGATAGTAAGAATGGGAGAGTGTATTGAAGATATAAAATTAAGTTACGGCCAGCTATTGAGGATTAACGATTTCGCCGCAATCTTTATTCGATGGTATTTTAAGATTGTTTATCTTAAACCTCGTTCCCGCGTTTTTCGTTTAATGTTTGATCTCTTGCCGCGACGACAGAGGGAGCCATATGGATCTTCGACAAATCAGAGAGAATATTAACTATAAAAACGTAGCTTTAAACTGTTCCGAAAATAAATTTAAAACTGTCTGATTAACTTTTTATTCTGAATTGTTATGAAAAAAACCAATATCTGTTTCTATTATAATTTTTACTTTCAGTTCCATGATAGTATTTTTTCGATTCTATATCGATTCTGAATTGATTTTAAAATCAATTCTTTGTTTCGATTTTTCTGTAATTAATATCATTAATTAGTACAAATTAGTGTGTGTGTGCATATTTTTTACAATCATTAAAAAAAAGAAAAAAAAAGAAACATTCATATATATTTTTATATATATTCTTTTTTATAAATATTTCGAAAATTATTATATATGATATATATATATATATGATTATAACAAAAAATTATTCAAAATGTTAATTTCTATAATATATTTCAAAATCACTAATAATTTCTTTGCAATTTTTTCAAAATTATTATAAAAAGAATGTGAAATAATAAAGATGCAAATTTAAACAAATCTTAATCAAACCTAACAAATCTTATCATATATCAATTTCAATATATAATCTATATTCTTTGAAATTGAAAACATCAATAAAAATAATTTTACTGTTTCGTTAAATGCATCCCTATTCTTCATCAGAATATAAGTTCTCCCTTTCTTTGTTCTATCAAGTCTCGTGGTAACTATCGTCTTAAAATCAAGCTTTCATTCCTGAATCGAGCTTCATCGTGGTCGACATCGTTTTCATCAGACAAATATCTCAGACAAATAGAAAGCGGATCTTTGTTCTCGGAAGCCTAGAAAGCCAACTACCCGCGGTACAATCTGCACCTGCAGCCCGGCAACCCAACGTACATGATTGTCGACTGGTACGATTGGTTGCTGACATTAAGCTGCGCCGAGAAATGGGAGTACATACATATACAGCAAGCTAGTATTGCAATGTACAAGATGATTCAAAATATATATTTACTTGAAAAATTATTAATTTTAAAAATTTATATTCATTTATGTATTTTACTAATTATTAATTTTTATATCTTTTTTTATATTCATCCAATTTTTTATTATTTTGTGATAAACTCAATAATTTTCAAGATGAAATTAAATTTTTTATCCTTAAATTAATATACATTAATAAAAAAAGTGCATTAATAAAATTATAAACGATAAAATAAAATATTCGTAATTTTATTCAATTATAATTTTAAAAAATTCAAAAATCCCTAGAAGCAATTATCAACAACTCCCTATATCATGATTTAAGGATAAATCACGATGCCGCACAGATTTTTCGGAAACTATTTTCTCTTTTAAATGATTCAAACTTTCCCATCAAAATTCCATCGTCTACCTATAAAAACCCAATATCACTGAAGACTACGAAAAGTCACTAAGCCTAACGGTGAACCAACTCGTCCCTGTAGAATCGTTTTATTGCCGAATCGCGACGTGTTTCCTAGCTTGGATCGTCTCGTCCGATCATTTTTCTCAAGTAGACGTCCCCTTGGAAGCATCGTCCACGATCATCCCCTTGTCCTCTTGGCCAAGTATTTGGTATTCAGACAACGACATGCCATCGAAACTCGAGCAGCCTCTGCAAGAACGTATCTTCGACATGGCTTCGAGAAAATTGTTCATCTTGTTCGGTTTGCAGCTTCTCTAACTTTGTCTTTCTCATTCTCAACATTAAAAGAAAACAGTAAGTAAAAAGAAAAAGATGCCGTTTTCTTTACATTTTTCTTTTTTCTTCTTTCTTTTTTTCCTTTTTTTCTCTTATATTGATAGTGGAAATATATTTCCAAGTATAATTTTCTTGATGTTAAGAAATTTTATGAAGAGTAAAAGTTTGAGGTTAGTTTCATGTTTTTGAAATTTTATATAGTAGAATGGAAATTTTGATGAACACTTTAATATAAAAATATCAGTTATTAAAAGATTATGTGAACCAACACAGGAATTTTTTAAAAAACCAACATCAAAGATCAATTATTTTCATATTCATTTAATGAATATGAATACAAAGTCGACTTTTATTCTAAATGTAATCATATAATTCATATTACTAATTTTTTTCAATTCTTATATATATATATACCTAAAATCCTTATAAATTATTCTAAAATATTATACAAAATAAAATATCTTCAAATTCATATTAATTCATTATGAGAATTACCATATTCCCTTTGTTTCTCCATTTCGTCCTGAAAACAGCCTCTTAATTTAAGACAAAATTAATATTAAGCGTAACTGCGAGAGTAGGATAACTCTTAGGACTTTCAGAGTAAAACACATTATATCAAACCGGAGCAAAATACGTCCAATGTGCGCGAATGAGACATTAATTTGCCATACGAAGGATTATGGCTACGCTTTATCTTCCCATTAATCCTGATTTAGAGATTCTGCTACGTACGCCACCTAACCTATTCGTCGGGAATTAAGATGCTGGAAATACAAGTTGCTTTGCCATAGCTTACGTCAAACTTAGAGATTAACTTTTGACATTTCTTTTTTGTATTTCTTATCCAGTTGGTGATTGATGATGAAAAAAACAAGTAAAATAAACATTACATGTTACATTGGATATAATAAAACTTTGAATATGAAAAATTTCTGTATGTTTGAAATATTTTTTAGTAAAGGTTATGATAGTTATGTAGGTTATGTAAATAGTATGTAGCTATAATAGATAATTTTATTCTAATTTTTACTTTTAGATTAAAAATTAATAGTTTGATGAGCAATGTAAGTACACATATTATATGTTATTAAAAATATAAACAAATAAGCATAGAATAATAAGAATATCAAAATGTTTTAAAAGTGATGAAAAATAGGTTATACGATAGCTTATAAAATATGAAAAGAATTTTAATATTTATAAATATAATTTTCTTTATTAAGATTAAAGATAATTTATAAAATGTATTTCTAAAAAAGATTTTAAATCTGATGTATAGTTATTGGCTTAAATGTTTTTTTTTTCTTAAAGTTACAAATTTTCAAATTACAACCAAGATTTAAAATTAAACTCACACTTCTCAGTTATTCATAAATAACAAAACCCTTTAATTTATTTCACTTTACTTCAAATCCATTTCTCAGTTTTATTATTTCTTTCTTCTGTAGCAAACTGATGCAAATCTATAGGAGCTTTTGCTATAGTTTCCTGAGACATAGATGCATTTCGTATGGCAAGAATGTTGACACAAAGTGATAGAAAGGATGTTTGCTAGACTCGTGAAGGGTTAACCAAGTTGATAAGGGTAAAGTAATTGATACTGACGCTAAAACGTCTGACCGTGAAGTAAGTACAAACGGAACATCCAGCGGAATTATAGGATTATATTAATACGCTCGTTTCACAGAGCCATGGTCGCTATTTGCAGTTACCACGCGCTTCTTCGATACCCTGCGTGTAAATTCATTCATTAGGGATTTGTAGATCTTTGAAGACTATTAAAGGGTGGCCAATTTAAATTGGCTAAACTATAAAATGAATTTTAATTATTAGTTAATACAATTAGTAATCCAAGTAAATTCTCTTAATTTTTAATGGAATTGTCTTTTCATTTGATCAACATAAATTAATCAAAATATTATTTTTAATTTTATTACAATTTAAAATGTAATTGGATAATATTTATAAATTTTTAATTGTTCTAAATAAAGATACTTTATAATATTTTAAAAATTTTAATTATAATTGGTCAAAGTTTTTAGGAAAATGTACATATAATTATTTTTTAGGAATTCAGAAGGGTGTCACTATGTCTAACAAGTGTAAATGACAGCTGAATACGACCGTGTGCACGCGAACAAAAGAGTGAATTCTTAAGGGTGAACAAAGCATTTTAAAGTGAGCATATTTAACGAGACTGAAGAAATTATTCATTATGTGATTATTTTGAGAATCATTATAAAAAATACTTAAAAATACATTACACATATTTCTATCAAAGCGACCAATTATTCTAATTTATAATTAGATTTTAAAAACAATTTTTTAAAAATTTAATAAAATAAAATTTAAAGAAAAATATAAATAAATAGATTTTTTATTACATAATTTCCAAGATATATAACATTATAAAAAATTTAAATTAAACTCTATTACATATACATCAAATTTTAAAAAATAAAAATTGAATCATTAAGTTGAAATTAATATAAAAAAAAAAATTTTAAAGTCTCAAAATTATTTTCATCACTATTCTTATTACAACAAACAAATACTAACCATGCATTAAACTTTTTTAGGAAACTTCAACTCTAAACATTAACCAAAAATACTTTCAAAGGAATGTGATATCAAAGAGTATCATTATGAGAATCTATATATCCAGGATAAAAAAAAATTACCTGATATTCGCGAATCCTATTCGAGAATGCTGTACATTGATCATGTGCCATCTGACGCGTTCGCCAGTATAAAATTGCGTGTGAGATAAACGTTTCATTCTTCCACGATCCACGATACTTGAAACGTTTAGAACATTCGAACTTTATTCCATAAAATGGGATAGTAGAAAACACTATACAGGTAAACGACTCCATGATCGCCGCTATGCGGCGAATTATCGTTCACATCCTTTCCCCGAGACGTAAATCCTAATATCGAATCGAGGCAGGTTGTTTGCCATCTTCTCTTCTTGTTTAACTTTCTTACTAATTTTATTCTTTTCGTCGACAAATGTTTTTGAAACGAAGTTGAAATGATATTCTCTTGTAGAAGAATATAATTTTTTTAAAAAATATCCATAAAATATTGTACTGTTTTTTTAATTCATAACTTATTTTTATTAATAATATTTATATCAGAAATATATATTTATATGTAATTAATATTTGAAAAATAAAAACAAATCAAACTTTAATTAAAAAGAATCTGAGAATATTGTTACTCCTATTTTTAATAATTAAACATAATTTCTCTCATATCATGCATATAATTATTTCTTTAGATAAATAAATTTTCAAATTATTCATTATTCAGATCATTCAAATGTTCGATTTTGTTTTATTCAAATCTATGTATCCATAAACACTTATTTTCCCATCGAAATAATACAATTTCAATTATGTATCAATCCTTCAAAAATTAAAATTCAAAATATAGAATCATCCTTGCCCTCGTTTCAACAACAATTCAAATTCTTCCTCCACTGCAATATTTTCTCGTATACTCGAAGTTCATGCATTGAGAAATTCAACAGACGAAATCTCCGAAACATTCTCACCATCCTCGTCCACTGTATATCGTTCATGAACACCCCCTTCATCCTTGAACGCGAAAACCATAAGCACGATTAAAGCAAAAATGGCAAACAACACGAAGGATGTTCGAATTATTTCGTTAGCACGAGGCAGGCGAGGATCAGGCGAACGGGTGAGCGTCGTGCGAAACACTAGTTAAGGACACTGTATAGCGGGGTGCCTGAGTATGGGGGCGCGCCCCTTCGCGCACAGGGCCCCCTCAAGCGGCGTGCATCAGACTACATTCGATACGTTGTCCACCGAGGGGTTCCCCCGTCGACCCATCGTGGCCCTATGACTAATAAGAAGCCTGGCAGACACTGTCACACGAATCCAAGTATCCCGTGTTAAACGATGCAAAACTTTGTGGCTTCGGGAGGTTGATCGAGGACGTATAAGGGTGAATCGATAAATAAATTAGTAATAGTAGACCCTATTCTAATTTTTTTTAGCAACATATACGATCTTTTTGGTAATTATTTAGAGAAATTTTCTGCGATTTGTTTTTTTGATTTTAAAATATATATCAAATATATGTTATCAAGATCAATATTTTGAATAATTTTTTTTCTATAGAAATATTAAATCAGTCGTAAAAAATTCGTATCTTACATTGTGAAGAAATTGTTTTTAAATTTTGATTTGTCGGAAAGTAAAATCGATCTCCAATGTTTAAATATTTTTATAAATTTTGGATACAATTTTTCATTACATGTGATTCATTAAAAATAAAGAAATTAAAATCTTTTTTATTTTTTAATGAAGTTCTGTTCCATATGTTATCTTATCGACATTTATTAATAATACAGTCACAATTCTATCACAGGATGCATAGAATATGTATCGACTACATTCCTTATTTTTATTTTTTAAGAATAGACTAAAACTGAAAATAGAAAAAAGAAAAATAAAAAAAAATATTCTCAATTCGACGAATATCGCATCAGAATTTTTTTTTTTTCTTCAACCTAATATTCCCCGATCGTTTTTCATCGATGGGGAATCTCAGTCTATAACCTTCATCCACGACACTCACCCCTATCGTTTCAGAGACAATCTCTCTCGTCTCGAATCGAACCGCGAGCATCTATCGTTCGATGTCGTTCTCTCCTGAGTGTCGTTACCTAAACCGAATACGCAACGCGAATTTCGATTACCGTTTTGCATATACCGAATCGCGACACATGGGACACTTTCTTCTTCAGGAGAAAATTTGATGTACGCGTTCCAGCCCCTTGTTCGGTGGTTTCGGGTGAAGATGATGTATATTTCGCATCTGGCGTGCATTTTTGATAAAAATGTGATCGTACTTCATATACAGAATGTTAATACACACGTGAAATATATTATCTTTTGAAGGGTCGATTCTAAGAAAAAGAAAAAAAAGAACAGAAAAATATTGGTGTGGAAAAATATCGAATTATTTATTTATTAAATTACAAGCAATTTAAGTTTGTTTCAAATGATAAAGCGAAACGATAGTGTGACAAAGATAGATTTTACTTGATTCTATTTTTTTAATCTCATCTAACGTAAATTTCAATTTTTTATGTATGATAAATAAGTCTTGTCCATTTATTATATCATTTTTTTATTATGTTATTTTTGTGTATTAACTTTTAATTATTTTAGCTTCAAGAATCGATCCTAAAAAAATATTTCATGAATATATTAATATATGTTATCTGTATATATATTGGGAAAAAACTTGTTTAATAATAAAATACAATTAAAGTATAATTGATTAATTAGATCAAAGTATGTAATTAGAAAAATTAATATAATTAATATAATATATATTTTTTTTATTTATTAAACATTCATTAAATCATTTTTTTATTTTGAAAAAATATTTAATAAATTTTAATTATTTTTATGCTCATTTACTTATTGTCTATTCTTTTTCATTTATTAATAATGAATTTATGCTAAAATTTCAATGTAATAATAATTTTATTAAGTTTTTTTGTCAAGAAAGACAAGAAATTCTTGATTAAGCAAATGCTTAGATAAATCAGTAACCGACTTTTTTTTTCGAGATCTGAACCCACAAAAATTGCTCCCGTAATTCTGCCCACCAATGTCGAAAGCGATGTTATCGAGAACGACGAGCGTTTTACCGGTGATGATCAGATAACACTTGCAAAGAATGAAAGAAAAAAGATCGTGCTAAATCAGCAACTTCCTGCTTTTATTCGTGTTAAAAGCTTTCATTATATTTTCTACATTTTATGCAAAGCTTGAACATAAAAAAATGATTACTTAAATATAATTTTACAATAATTTAATTTTACAAAACAAGAAAATAATGAGAATGAATGTTATATTTTTCTTTTAATCTTCAACTTATAAAATTTATAAAATGATTAATATTATAAATAGCAAATAGATATTATAAAGTATGAATTATTATTTATAAATAAAAATAATTTAAATTATATATAAGTTATTCGTTTCTTTAATTTTTTTTCAAAGAATAGATCATATTATCGAATAAATTAAACCAAATCATACAAATTATTTCACACAAAATCTATTAAATAATTTTAATGATAATTAAATGATAAGAAATATAATAAAAAGAAGAATTGAAAATTACCTGGGTTCTTTTTATCGAAACGAAAACTAAAATCGTAAAACTTTTCTTTTTTATTTTTTTTTCTTGCCAACGAATGCGTTATCTGTACGCATTAAATGCGAGGATTATTGTTCTTATCATTTGATTGTATAGTAAACGGTAGGGAAGATAAACACACACAGAAGAAATTCGTTTTCACTGTGGTGATACATGTACCATGTGTGCACGCGACATCCCCCCACGCACTTTTACAACCCTTGAAAGCCCGGTTAAGGCATTTTCACCGCGTGCACCGCCTGCAACACGAATACGCCTACAATTTAAGATTATAAACATCAAGTTTTGGCGAAAAGAGTGAATAAAAGAAAGTGGAAGAGGAGTAAAAAGATATACGTATTTAAATAAATAATAAATGAAAGAGTGGTTGGTAGATAAAATCAATAAATTAAAGAAATGAAATTTTACATAAATTAATGAGAAAAGTTAATGAGAGAAAGAAATAGAAAGAAATCCTTAATAAACCTTTAATAAAATAAATAAATAAATAAATGAACAAATAAGAAAATGAATAATGTATAGATAAACTAAAAATAAATAATTATACATAATAAAATGACTAAACAAATTTTTCAATAAAAGAATTGGATAAATAATGAATGAATATATATGTGTATAAATGAATGACATGCTTAATCAATGAAGAATTATGCAAATGAATTGAATGAATCACCAGTGAATGAATGAAAATATAGATACAAATTATTCATGACATTAAACAGTGTAAAAAAAATATACAGAGAAAGAAATAGAGAAAAAAAAGAAGTAAGAAAAAGAATGTAACAAAAAAATTATTTCTTAAAGATAAGAAAATAGAATATTGATTGTAAAAGTTTAACAAATTCAGAAAAGTAGTAGAGATATTAGAAACGTGATGGAATAAAAGCGATTATCAGAAAAACAAAGGAAAAAATACAAAGAAGAAGTAACAAGGATTCGAATCTGATAAATGGTCACAGATGAATGTGTCACGTTGAAATGGGTAGACAGAAGAAAAATCATATCAAATATTTACTCTGATGTGCAAAGGTGTCGTAGAAGAAAATCGAGAAATCAAGAGAAACCTGGCTAGTGACAACGAAATCTGACAGGGAATCGTAATCCTTCGAGTACATGTCCCTCTCGTTTTTCTTTATGCCTCGTGGCACATTTTTCTGACAGAAAAATAGGGACATTTCCGTACAAGTAGGATTTATTATTCGATTCCGTATTATTTTTATATAGAATGTATTTAAATAATAAAAATTTAAAATAATAAAATTTATCTCACAATATATCTTTTAATTATTTCTTTTAACATTTTCTTTTAATTGTTAAAAATATTGAATTGTAAAATGTTTTATTAGAATTAAGATTCTGGAAACAAAGATAAAATATAAACAAAGCTAATACTAATAAAAAAAAGCTTTATAGCTTAACTTTCTTCACTACAATATTAACTTTAGTACTAGTAGTTTAGTAAACTTTAGTTAAGTATTCTCTTCTTTATTTCTTCTTGGTTGAATTCAGTAAACACTCTCGACATCTTTAATACTACATCATTCATAGTAAAATC